AATGTGACAAAATATGGAAAAGTTCAAGGGGTAAGAATACTTTTGCAAACCACTGTCTATGCCTGAGAAACACGTAATATTGCCCCTTTAAATCTCTGGATGTTGTGGGGTTATGTTGGTTGACGCAAGTCTACAATATTGCGTGGACATGGGGGCAGTTACCCTGGATTGGCAGACTGGGGTGGTGGTCGCCCTATTTAAAAAGTGGGACCGCAGAGTGTGTTTCAACTAATGGGGTGATCACACTTCTAAGCCTCCCTGGAAAGGTCTATTCAGTGTCCTAAAGAGGAGGGTTCGTCGGATAGTCGATTCTCAGATTCAGGAAGAGCAGTGTAGTTTTCGTCCTGGTCGTGGAACACTGGACCAGCGCTATACCCTCTGAACCAGCTCTACACCCTCAGCAGGGTCCTGGAGGGTGCATGGGAGTTCGCCCAACCAGTCTACATGTGTTTTGTGGACTTGGAGAAGGTGATTGACCATGTCCCTCTGGGAGTCCTGTGGGAGGTCCTCTGGGAGTGTGAGGTGCCAAGCCCTTTGATATGGGGTGCTAGGTCCCTATACACCTGGTGTCAGAGTTTGGCCCATATTGAAGTAGTAAGTTGGACTCATTTCCACTGAGAGTTGGACTCCGCCAAGGTTGCCCTTTGTCACAGATTCTGTTCATAACTTTTAAAGACAGAATTTCTAGGTGCAGCCAAGGTGTTTGGTGATCTTATCCAAAAGGCGAAGCTCTCAATTTACTGGTCGGTCTATGTTCCAAGCGTCACCGATGGTCATGAGCTTTGGGTAGTGACCAAAAGAACAAGATTGTGGATACAAGCGGCCGAAAATGAGTTTCCTCCAGTGTCTCTGGGCACTTCCTTAGAGATAAGGTAAGAAGCTCAGTCATCTGGTAGGGATTCAGAGCAGAGCCACTGCTCCTTCGTGTCGACAGGAGCCAGTTGAGGTGGCTCAGGTATCTGGTTAGAATGCCTCCTGGATGCCTCCCTGGTGAGGTGTTCCGGGGCACGTCCCACTGGGAGGAGACCCAGTGGAAGACCCAGGACACGCTGGAGGGACTATGTTTCTCGGCCGGCCAGGGAACGCCTTGGGAGCTGGCCCAAGGAGAGGGAAGTCTGGGTCTCTCTGCTTAGGCTGCTGCCCCCGTGACTCGACCCAGATAAGCGGAAGAAAACGGATGAAAGGACATATTTGGACATATTTATGACAAATCAAAATACCAAAGTCACATATAAAAAGTGAGTTTTATTATTTCAGGCTTTGTTATCTCCACCAAGGAGGTTATGTTTTTGGCAGCGTTGGTTTGTCTGTCTGTCTGTGCACAACATTACTCAAAAAGTTATGAACACATTTTTATGAAATTTTCAGGAAATGTTGAGGTTGTCACAAAAAACAAATGATTAAATTCTGGATCAGCAGTGTGAGTGACCATATGATCTTGGCAGAGGTGTGCGCTCTTCAAATTTTTGTAGCAGATTTTTAATCTTTGTTTTTATTTTTGTTTATGTATCAGTGTTCTGTTCCTCAGTGCTTTCTTCTCCAGCTCCTCCCACAACTATTTCTGTTRGTCTCCCTGAAAGGTGTGTGTAATTTAATTTTTTTAGTGTCCCTTTATTTTATGTGTGTTTATGGTAGTTTCTAAGTTTTGGGTTGTTGTGGCTACAAGTCAAARGTTTCTGTTCTTCTCATGCCTGCCTGCATTCAGGTCCAAATTTCCAATTGCGGTGATACTTGTGGCTCTGACACATAGCAAGACCCTATATTTACATGGTGGCCACTACTCACGACTTGTGCAATAGATGGTAAGCCATCAAAGATTTCCTGGGAGATTTCAACCAGCTCCCAGGTTTTATTAATTCTCCAGGTCTGTCTGAGCTGTTGGAAGAGGCTTTATTGGAAAAATGGATGCTGAAAGTCCTCTTTAATCCAACAGCCACTCCAGACTTTGAGCAGCCAACATCAGTCCCTGAGCAGCCGGCATCCGTGACCCCAGTGCCTGCTGCAAGACCATAGCCGGTCTCATCATTCCAGGGCAGCACTCTAGAGTCTTCAGGGCCCTGCTCACCTGAGCCTCAAAGGTCCTACTTGCCCTAGCCTCTAGGATCTTGCTTGCCTTTGAGAAGGTTGCCAACAATGCTGCTCTCTCCTGTGTCTCAGATGGGGTCTTTCTCCTGAGGGAGTTCAGGACAAAATTATGGCTCCCTGCACACACAATCTCAAAAAAAAAAAAAAAAAAAACTGCACACAGCCAATCTCTTGTCTCATCAGGCAACCAGAAGGCCTGCCATGACTGTCCTTCACTGTCAGGCCCYTTTGTGCTGGGATCAGCAGCATGTGCACTAGAACCTGACCATGTGGAGGAATGTTATGATAAATGATGAGTTCAGATTCTGCTTGTGGCAGTTTGATCATAGGGTGAAAATGTGAAGAAGAGATGGAAAACACTATGGTGATTGCTGCACCAGTAGAGTAACATCTTTCAGTGGAGGCAGTGTGATGGTGTGGGGTGGCATCTGCCTCACTGGAAACACAAGGCTTGTCATTATTGGAGGCCATCTCAATCTGAAAAATATAGAGATGGAATTCTGCAGCCAATGGAAATCCCATAGTCTGGGACCAAACTCTATCCTTCAAGATGACAATGATCACCCCCACAGAGCATAGATGATTAGAGACAACTAGAATTTAGGAGTGGAAAGGATGGAACGAACTAAGAACAGTCCTGACCTTGACCCTATTGAACACTTGTGGGATCAGCTTGAGCGTGCTGAATGGTCTGTGCTGCTGCACTACGGACCGTCTTTCCACTTTCCCTACACCGGAATTGGGAAGCTGAGACAGACGGCACATTGTCCTCCCTGGGCACCTGTTGTCCGTTGCTCTCCCCTGGGGTGGCCACACAGCGCGCGGCGTGTCGCTGTCAACTGATTTGGCGGGGAGGATTGTACTGGAGGACTGGAGACTCTCACGCCACAGCGGTTGTCTCATGGGAGCCTCCAGMCTGCTGGGCACGGACKTTGATCGCCCCTCGGTTCGTCTTCGCCGGCATTGGGAAGCGGCAAAGGATGCGCGTTGGCCTCCCCAGCTCCAAGGCATCTGACTTCGGTTGGACGCTCTAGTCTGTCCCTACCAAGCCTTCACCTGGGGATGGCTGCACTGCATATTATACTAGCCATTTTCATGTTTCTGAAGTGCTAACATAAACGCTGTTTGGAGGGCAGCGCTAATGTAAACAAAAGATTGGGAGGACATTGCCAGCAGCAACTTTTGCATAAACAGCTCGTTCTGAAGGGAACTCAGAACAGGCAGAATTGAAAAGGTAAAATCACATTATCTAAGAGTCATTTTGTGAATTAAATCAAATGAACATATTGCCCACAGATGTCCTTGTTCAAGGACCCCATAATAGGTCCTCTTTAAATTGCCAATATGTCCTCTTTCTTCCAATCCTAATCACCCTGTCCACTAATCACCAAACAAGTCAATGGCAGAATAAGCTGTTTGGCAGTGGTAGAGAGGATWTGGCAATTTTTTTCATGTGCACAACCCACATATTCAGCTCTACTGCTCATTCCACAAATGCAGATTCCTCATAAATGTGGCACCATTTAAAAGGGAATTTAACAGGCTACAGGTACAAGATTTATATCCAAGAAGCATTTTTACAAAGAAATAATCAACCAAACACAAAATTCTTGAATTTTTGTACTAAGTTTAATAAATGTAATATTCTGTTWATATTTTCTTTTGTACCAGTGTTCTGCTCCTTTGTGTTTTCTTCCTCAGATCCTTTCACACCTGTTCCCATTTGTCTCTTTGACAGGTGTGTGTTATTAGTTTGTTAGTGACTGTTTATATCAAGTTTCTTTATGTTGGTACCTTAATTCTGCAATGGCGTGGCTACCAGTCATTTGTCTCGGTCCTCCTAACTTTTTTCTGCACTGTCCTGTATTTGTAAGTTTGCAGCCACATCAGCGTGGTTTTTTTTAGTTAATTCATTTTTGTTTGATCCATGGATTGATTAGGGGTCCAAATCTCCACTCACTCTGACACCAGACCTTTCACTGACTGAAAAGATTTGGGACATAATGAAATGTAAAATCCAGCATCTCTGTGACTGTTGAACCGCTAGAATCCTTCATCAGACAAGAACGGGACAACATTTTCTCAAAAACCTCCAGCAGCTGGTCTCTTCAGTTTCAAGACATTTAAAGGTTGTTAAAAGAACAGGGGATGTTTCACTGTCAGTCTCTTTTGAAATGTGCTGATGCCATCAAATTCTAAATCAATTTTCCTTTATTATTATACAATTTCCTATTTTAAACATTTGATATTTTAGCTATTTTCTATTGTGAATATAATATGGAGCCGTGACATTTTTTTGTTTTTTTTTAATGTTTTAGTTTTAAATGTAAATTTTTTAAAGGTTTTTCTTTGATTTTTAGGGTTTTGTTTATTTGGAGCCTACAACAAATCACAGTAAAACACGAATATTTTATGCCACAACTGTAACATATTTAACAATTTTTGTAAAGATAGTTTTTACTTGACAATATATGGACCAAAAAGAGTCAATGGAAAAAACTTATTGGCAATCTGAGATGAAAGTGATCTTTGCAAATGAGTAATTGTTTGCAGTGTGGACGTGAAGTGCGTCTCCTCTCTGCTCTGACTGCAGCTGGGTTTGCTGCTCGAGGCCGAGACTGGCTGCCTGTAAATGCTTTGGGATGGGGAAGGGCTCATGGCAGTAATTGCCAGGGCAGGGACAGGCCTGCAGAATAACTGGTGCTTTCATGTGCAGTTTCCAAAGGTCTCCAATAACATCCTAAAATGTAGCTGGATTAGCTTTTTTTAAATTGCAAAAAGGGTCTAAAGACTTTATAAACATAGCAATAAAGTTGCTAAGTTGTCAACATGGCTGCTGGTTCTAAATTTCCATAAAATAACACAGGAGTGTATATCTAACCAGATTATCATATAAGATTTAATGAGCTGCTCACTTCAGCAGCTCGGAGTCTTCTTTGTCGTCCTTGGTGGGGGTCAATTTAATTCCACCCTTCTTGGCTCGAGGACATCCAGACAAACTGGCAGCAGAACAGAGAGAAACAGTAAACATTTCWTCTCAAAATGACAAAATAAAAGTAATGTTTCTTCCAGACAATAGAAGAAAAAATTAAAAGCCTAGCATCCCTTGACTGCCTGTCTTCTGCCTGCCAAGTTTTAGCCTAAAATCATCTTATGTTAAGAAACGACTTTAGGGTTTGGGTTTGTAGCCGTTTTGGTCAAACTTTGTTTATTACATCATGTGTAATCATGTGATATCACAAAGTCCCATAACAAGTATCTGTTATTTATGACCACCAACTACTAACACATTAAGTTGTACCCTAATGTCAATAATTTTACAGATTTACAGCCATTTTTGTATTTTTTTAAAGTGAAATGGAAAGAATCCTGATGTAATTCAGAAGTAAATGTTAATCCAAATGAACAGGGTTAACTTCACCAGTTGATGACATTTTAATGAAAGAGCTTGTTCAATGAGTAGCAATGCCTCTGAACCACAACCATGTTACATTTGTAGCATTACATCTGTAAAATTGACTAATTTAAAGCCATTTTGTGTTATTTTATTTTCAGTTGGCTGTGGTAGCCATCTTGAATTGGATTGGCTTTAAAAGTAAACAGTTGTAGAGACACATCCAATGAAAGATTCATTAAAATCTGTCCAGTACCTCATGAGATATTTTGCTAACAGACAGACATACAGTAGTTACCTTTAACTATGTATGAGTCAAAACAAAGATCTTGAACAACTGGTGCTTAGAATTTATGTTAGGATCAGTCTCGGCTACTTCCACATCCAATTTTGTCAATAGTTGTAAAATAGTTATAACCACTTTTGTTTTAAGGTCAGTTGGCTATTGCAAACCTCTTGTATCGGGATAAGAATGTCACACAATAACAACTCCCACCTTCTGTGGGAGGCGTAGTTTCCAGTTATGTGTCCTGACCCGTCACAGCCTGGAGTTGGACACCTGAGGGACATGCAGACAATCTTTCAGCATGGAATCAAAAAGCTCGAGCCTTCTTATGAAACAATTTATCACTTCTTTGTTTAAAGTAGGAATCAGATGGTACAGAGTGAATCTTTAACTGACATTCACAGTATGAAAAAGAGAGCATGCACAGAGCTGTAGCTGCAACATGTTAAAGGTGAGAGTCAGGAGAAAACACACATACTTCAGTTCAGCTGTGTGGGCAGCCATAAGGGTCCGAAGGGACTTATCAGCAAGAGGACAGCCTGAGAGACTGGAAAATCAGGAAAAGTGTTTCAGAAAAACCCATCCAGAACTGAGTGTCACAGAAGTGAAATATATGAGAACTGAATCAAAAGAAGTCACAAGACTGAGTTAGACCACACAAAGCTTGATTAAAAATACTTTCTGCTGTCTGAGAGGGGTTGCAAACATTGTATGTGCAGAATAGAATAGAATAGAATAGAATAGAATAGAATAGAATAGAATATGCAAATGTTTTGGTGAACTATGAATTAGGACTTTTGCTCTGCTTCAACACCAATCTGTAAAACCAGCATTCACATCTGCCCTAATTCTTTGTGGCATGAATTCAAAGGTTTTTTGTAAAAGTAACTGGTTGGAAGGGCAGAAGAAGCAGCAGTCATAACCATCATTCGTGCATGATTGAGATCTGGTAACTGTGACAGGTGCTTAGAAGGGTGGTTACGACTTGGTCCTGCTCTTAAACCTTTGTTAACATGTTAACACCATTTGTTTGGATGTCTTGGCTGACACACCTGCATGAAAGTTGGAAAACGTGCCTTTAGGTTTACAAACCTAGTAGCACATAGTAGCAGTAGTAGTAGAGGTTGTGCTTCGACATAAAGAGAGCACAATACACAGCCTCCCTGGTGTCCAATCCTGGACCTCGAGGGCTACTGTCCTGCATGGTTTTGTTGTTTCTCCGCTTCAATACACCTGAATGGAATAAATGGGTGGATAACAGGTCTCTGCAGAACTTGAAGATGAGTAAGTCAACCATTACATCAGTTTGGACCAGGATTGGACACCTAAAAGCCATTCAGTCTCTGTAAACCAGAGAGGGAGTTTGGATTGCAGTGCTGAAGATAACTCAGACTTCTCCTAGTAAGTACTGGATAATACTAGGATTGCAATTCACAATTGCCTTTTGTCACCAATTCTAAGTACAACCAAGGGTTGGGGGCTTTGGATTGTATTGCTGCTTTTTGTGGATGACATTTTCCTGTTTGTGTCAGCAAGACAAAACCTCCAGCAGATACAGGACAGTTTTGTGGCTGAGTTTGAGGCAGCCAGATTGAAGATCTTAACTTTCAAGTCTGAGGCTAATCCTGAACTAGAAAAGGGTGGATTGCTGATTCTATATCAGAAGGAGTAACTGTCCCAGGTGGAGGAGAGTGTGATTAGTGGACTGAAAGGGTCTAAATACAAGTTGAGTGGCTGGATTCTCTGGTAAGTACTGTTTGCCTCCTAGATGCCTTTCAAAGAAGGTGTTTCAGACTGGGAGGAGATCTTGTGGCAGACAAGACTCAAACTGGGAACATGGCTTGAGAGCTTCTCTTGATGAGTTGGTAAAGGTAGCCCAGGAGGAAGAGGCCCGAGGATTTCTGCTAAATCTTGCAACCTATCAATTTCCTTTTTGTGCTGTCAGTGTAAAATATGCTTGAAATGGTTTTGAGACAGAGCAACTTAAAGTCTGCTTTGACTCCAGTAAAAAAAAACAACTCTTTGATTAGATTGATACATTAAATTTACAAAAGCTTCATCCAGAGGCCTGGACTGCTCAGCAGCATCAACACTGGGATTATTTAGTTTTCTGAATTCAGTAACTAACAAATTTAGGTAAAGATTCTGGTTCAGGCAAAGGAAAATAAATCATAAACATGAATGTAGAACTGCATCTTTCTCAAAAGAACATATCAAAAAACATAAAATTATTAGCTGTAAAAATTGGGAAAAAAACAGGCGTAAATATTCTGACTTGGTTATTAAATAATGAAGAAACATAATATCAGTTTCAAATTCTAATGGTTAATACAAGTAAATGTGGTCTAAAGATGAAATTTAGTTTTAGTAAAAAAAACATCTAAAGATAAAAGAAGAACAAGTTGACTGGTAAATAATCATCAAATGTAATTTTAGAAAAGCATTAAAAAGGACAAACTTTTTGTCCAGAATGTTTTATTTTCTGATTTTCAGGTGACTTTATTGATCAGTTCATGATGTTTCCACTGTGCTTATATTTAATTCTATGTCCTGTAGCTCCAGACAAGTTCAGGTACTGACTATCAGTTTAGGATAGCAGATTACTGGTTGAACTTTCTATTTTACCAGTTTAAATTATTTCCAGTTGGATTTTGCATCTTACCAGTTTATATTAGCAGATTATCAGTTCAAGATAGTTTAACTGTTTTAATGAAGGGTTGAGGTTAGAAGGTAATGCTGAAAAACCTTAGTTAAATCAAAAAATCTCTCCGTACATGAATAGATCACAGGTCTGACCTTCGATGTGATGCATAATTTCCAGTTATGTGTCCGCTGCCATCACAGCCTGGTGTGGGACACCTGAAAGAATAAAAAAAATCACCCAAACTGGTCAATCACACTCAKCAGAATTTTTGTTTTTGTTTTTCTCCTCACTAAAATAAGCAGGAAGATTGAAAGCCAAAATTTTCAGCTCACAACTCTCCAAATAATCTCTGAATTTATTCTTGTTTACACTGAAATAGATTTATCAAATAAATACAATAAATTAAATATGGATGCCATAATGTAGGCTGTTTCTTTGACAAGTTAAAAACTTTAAAATGAAGTTTAGCAAAGACTTGTTTGACTTACACAAGAATATCTTTTTTGCTGTCTTTTGGCTGAAACTTGACCTTAAAACTACTGGTAGTAACTTCACCAGGGTATTTTCGATCCTCTAGGTTCTCTTGATCCTCTTCTTCTGCTTCAGATGATGTATATGAGGGAGCTGTGTACTCCATCTAAACCAAAGGAAAATATGAAGTGTGGTCGAGACGTTTATAGAAACAACCCCCAGGGGCCAGTTGTTCAAAGGTAATCTGATCGGATTTTGGTAATTGGCAGTGGTGGGCAGCTCTAATCCAATAATTAGCTTCGCAATTTCTAAAGCGCTTATAAAAATATTTAGGTCCGCAGCTTCAAAAACGCTTATGCCATAGAAAAATTAGCGGAAGCTAATTCTAAAGCACAAGATCAATTTGACACTTACTAGCTGGCAACAATTGCACAATATATGTACAACATTGCCAACTAGCGGTGTATGATCCTTTTTACAGTTTAATCCTACAAGCGCCAATTGCTGGGGATGTGATTTCCTGAAACAGAACTTTAGCTCCTGGTGTAAAAATTAAAAAGTTATTGAGGATTGCTAGTTCGGCTGCTTCTTTGTCTTTTTCTTTTGTTTGTTGTAGATTTTTCATTAAAGAAGCATCAATAAAGCAATTTTAAAACTGTTTATTGGGAAACTGAAGCGATGCACTCTGGGCATACATGGCGGATTTGATTTGTGATGGGAAATGAAAGTTTTTCATGTAGTTGCTCCAGATGACCACTAGATGTCTGTCTAACCCCGCTGGCCGATTGCTTCGACCAATTACATCAAGTATTGAGCTCCACCGTTTAAACTTTATTTATATTATTTTAAAAAAGGAGCTCCGATTGTAAATTAAAATAAATCAACACATACAAAATTTTAGTATAGATTACAAACGTTTACTGTTTTTGCTGGGAAAGGGCATTCTAAATATTGCCTCCTACTACGTAAGCAGACACAAAGCATTGTGGGAAATGAGAACCCTGACCGAGAGCAACAATCAGCAAGGATGTATACGTTTCCGTGTGTTTCTCTGGGAGGGATGCTGTTGAACAGATCACGTGTGATGTCATTCATTGACAGCCATACCTTCCGCTGTTCAAGATAATGATGACTGGTAGATAATTAGTTATTAGGGGTACTGCATTTTAATTTTAGAAAGCGCAAATCCGCTTATGAATTATAAAAATTAGTAAGACTGCTAAAGTGCAAARGAAATATTTAGGTCCACAATTAGCGGATTTGCACTTTAGCGGACTGGTGCCCACCACTGGTAATCAGATTGGATCAAATCTTGAAAACGGGTTGTTCAAAAGGAAAAGATAAGAGTCTGAAACCTGAATGGATCACAGAATCCAATCCTAGTTTTAATCTGGATCAAATCTTCAGTTCCTGTTGTTCAAACATTTCAGCAGTATTTGGATAAGTTTGATATTTAAAAAAAAAACCCCAGGATTATCCTGATCCCAACCGGGGGTAGGATTACAAGGTGGAATTCAGGAAGAAAATGTAGTAAAAATTGGCCATATAAAACATTTCTATCATTTAGTGTATATAATATATACTTTATCTTGCACTGGACTTGTTGATTGTTACAATGATAAAAAGATGATGTAAACTTAGGCTTCCAATTAAGCCTTTCAGAATAGTTAAAGTCAAATAAAAATGATCTTGTTCCCATGAAATCCTGTAATTCCATTAACAAATTTCAATTACAAACAAAAATAATTTATTCATGTTTTTTAATTGATCACTGTATGTTAATTTTATATTAATTCCTTGATTCTGGGTAGCAAAGAATGGGATTTCCAAATCTGGATAAATTTGATCCAGATTGCATTTTTTTGAACAACTGGCCCCATGAGTAAATAATTCTTCAAAAATAATTACTGTATTTTTTTAAAGGGATCCATGATCAGTTGTATCTTTAGACTTTATTTGATAAAAATTTATTTTAACTGTAAAATGAAGACTGTAAAAATACTGTAGGCTGTTTAGTTTTTTGTAATTTTTAAAATTATATTTTAACACGGACGGAGCCATTTTATTTCCACACAAAGCATTCTGGGTAAATGATGACATCAACTGGGTCATCGGTGCGAGGCTGCTAGTGAGCTATATCCACCTTGAAGGTTAATCTTGGACAATATCTGATGATTGGCTCTTTTAAATGAAACCAGAGAGCGTTGACAGAGAGGAGAAGGTAGAAATGACTCAGCCTGTAACTGAAAATATGGATGGAGGACAACAGAGCTGCTTCATGGAAGAAGAACCTCAGCTTAGCCTGTTAGCCTTTGCGCTAGCCCTCACGCTATATTGCCTTTTATGTATAAGCTCGGTGCTAGCACAAAAAACTAGCCAAACTGAGGTCCTCCATCCATATTTTCAGTTGCAGGCTGAGTCATTTTTGCATTCCCCTCTCTGTCATGTGGATGGAGGACCTCAGTGACGAGAACAAAATGTGTAGCGCTGAGCTAATACATATGGTGATAGCATCAGGGCTAATGCTATAAAGCTAACAGGCTAAGATGAGATTCTTCTTCCATGAAGCAGCCCTGTTGTCCTCCATCTATATTTTCAGTTACAGGCTGAGTCATTTCTACCTTCTCCTCTCTATCAACGCTCTCTGGTTTCATTTAAAAGAGCCAATCGTCAGATATTGTCCAAGATTAACCTTCAGGGTGGATATAGCTCGCTAGCAGCCTCGCACCGATGACCTAGTTTGATGTCATCATTTACCCAGAATGCTTTGTGTGTAAATAAAATGGCCCCGTCCATGTAATATATTTTAAACCTTTAGTTTAAAAACAATAAAAACTGAAAATCCTACAGTATTTTTACAGTCTTTATTTTACAGTTAAAGTTTATCTTTATTAAATAAAGTCTAATGTTACAACTAACCATGGATCCCTTTAAACTATTTTTTTAATCTTCTCATCATATCCAAAGGGCAGATGGTCTTTTCGGTACCTCTTCATGATCTTCCTCCTTGACTTCACTTGATTTGGTAAAATCCAGAGGACTGTCCCAGTCTGACTGAGTGGGAACCTGAGACAACACGGCTCCTACGGGTTGAGACGAGGAAGATGAAGAGGATGAAGGTTCTGGAGACTGCATGCCCTCTCTCTTGGTCTTCTTCATGCTGAGGTCCAAGGTGCCATTCTCATCCACCTCAATATCCGACTCCTGCATATGAAGATATAAGATCTAACTGAGGTAAAGCTAAGACTCATTTGAGACGTGGCTTTTCTGATCCACATGGTGAAGATGCTCTGGGGACATGAAGGAACTTTCTTATTCTTATCAGGTGTAACTGTAAGTGTCTTTGGAACAACTGTCTGCTGTAAAGCTGTGTCTGTGTACCTTGGTGCTAGGCTCCACGGGCTGGGCGCTGAGGGTCTCGGGTCTCTCCCAACAACGAGTGGACAGATTGAGGATGGCTGTTGCTGCCATGTGGGCTGCCTCGGCATCTTGGCTGTAGTCATACCCACTGGAGGAAAGATTGGGCTTAGAAAAACTTCCTGATACGCAGTGACTGGGGGAGGACGCCTTGGGAAAAGATTTAGCTGTGAACAGAAAGAGAAAACATGGCAGGAGAATGTCAAGTACAGACCTTCAACAGGACACCATACCAGTGTTAGATGATTCCATCAGTCCACAAATGTTCAGACACTTTGTGAATGGCTGAGTGTTGAAAAATAATAAATCATACTCTGGACAGAAGATCCAAGACGTCATCAGTCAAAATAAAAACGAAGCTGAAGGAATACACCCAGTCTTCCATGCCAGAGTTTCAGTAAAATTGTCGAGATTTGTAGTTATTAAGACCCAAGAATGTAAACTTGAACAAGAGGTGGATGTAAGATAAAACTTTACAATTCATAAAGCAAAACAGGATACAAGATAACTAAACAAGACAGTGGGGGTGAGAGCATGCAGGAGATAAACAATACGACAAACCAATGATATGAAAACTAGGACTTTAAAGCAGGGGTATTGTGTATAAATAATAAAAAAAGATTTTTCTTCACAGTCATATCTGAAATTGGCCACTGTCTCTTTAAGAATCTCTTTCCGACACTTCAGCTCATCTTCACAACAATAATTCATGTCTTTTACAACCTTTCGTAGGAGCATTGTATTTTGTTGTAAAAGAAAAAAAATTGTATCGGTTTTGGAAAATGGCAACTCAGAGTACAGTCGAACCTTATTAGCATGATCCCACATCAGACCTGTAAAGTATGTTTTCTGAAGAGCAGAGGCTCTTACAAGACGTTTCAGTTTAGTAATATATGTCTCCATCACCCGCTCATGCAAATATGTCAATGTTAAGCTACTTTTTGCAAGAAACAAATAAAAATAGATCATTATGAAGATATGTTTTTCAGTGAAATCATTTTTCTAATGCCGCTAGTGATGGAGCTGTGTGGGGGAGGAGCTCGGCTGCAGACTGAGCTCCAGGGAGGAGCTTTGTATCAAGAAGTGTTTAGACAGCTCCATGTAGCTTCCAGGAGGTTCAAGGATTTCACAAACATGCATGAATGAGTCAAAGCAACACTCTGAGTATGTTTCTGAGGAGGGAATGACATTATAACATGATATACTGTAAAGCTTAAAAAGTAGATTTTGAGTAATACCCCCCCCCCCCCCCCCCCGTACAATGGAAAGAGTGATTACAAGTGGAGACAGCTGATCTGATGAACGGTGGGGATGAGGAGAAAAATATCACAGGGACAGAGTGGAAAACTGAGCAGAAGGAATCTCAGAACAAGAAAGTATGACAAAGATGAACTGAATCCACAACAACCAAACACCTACAAATCCACAAAACAAAACACAAAGAGCCCAGGATCATGACAAAAACACTTTTATGATGAGAATAGATGGACTGACAGACTTTTTAGTCAAACCTCAAAAATTACATTATGCATCATCTATTGCAAAATTGTCTCATCTTAGAAGATGTGTTAGCACTTAATATATTGAGGATGGTTCTCAGCTACTGCCACACACATTTAGCTCATTGAAGGGAAAAAAACGCTTCACAGGAGGTACATTGAGAAAAAGGTTGAGAATCACAAATGTGAGGTATCAGTGGAGCATGGCTCTTACATTTAAAGGCCTTGGGGGACGTGTTAGCGGTGCTCGGTGTCTTTGGGATGATCATCCTCTTTCCAAACACCTGCACATCGAAGCTTGCATAGTCAAAAGACACCTTGGAGTATTTCTCCAGCTCCTTAGCCAGGTTGGCTCGAGGTGTGGTGGTTACAGTGTTGGGCCTGTAACTGCCATACTGAGGGATTTCCAGCTGTTTCACAAAACACATGGGCCTGGAAGAGACATTATAATATGAACAAACACTATTACTGTCAATCGTTTATGTAAACAAAAGCCAACAGGCAGCTCCTACCTGAGCACTCTGTCAGAGTTGGAAGTGGGTTCGGTGGCTGCAGCTTGTAGATGAACTTGTTTGTCCTGGTTCTTGTTCAGCTTAGAAGCTGCAGCGATTGGGCAGCCGGAAAGACTGACAGGAAATACACATCCTCATGTTTAGGTTTAAATTTTTAATTCTCATCAATCGGTAAACATTAATTGGTTGATAAAGCAAATTAAGTGTGTGTTAGTAGTATTAAAAATATGAGCTCTCATTTATTTCCACCCAGTGTTTTTGTTCTAAAATACTTTTATGAGGAACAAAACTATATGATAAATCTTGTGCCAGCAGGAATTGAATTTGAATTGCTCAGATTGAATTTGTATGTGCAGAATTTGAAATTGAATGAATTGGTTTGAAAATGAATGTTACTAAATTGAAACTGATTTTAAAGTATTAATTTGCTTTGAAACTGTATTTTGCTTTATTAAAATTTCAGTTTGACTACTTTCACTTTCAGTTCCATAATTCAAATTATTGTGTCACATCCTGGTCCTTGAGAAAGCCAGCCAGAGTAATCAAACACAGATCCACAGATTTATGTTTCACTTTGGTGAAGCTTCCCTTCTGTATGTAACACAGTTGATGCAATCCACTGTAAAAGTGACAAAAACAGTTATTTTATTGCAGTGATTAATTTTACCTATATGTAGATAATGTTACATCACATCATGGATCACATAATGATCAGATTCTGCTGCTGACTGATCCATGATGGCATGTAAATTTAACATTCTCTACATAAAGGTAAAATTAATCACTGCAATAAAATAACTGTCTGTTTTTGTCAGTTTTACAAAGTGAAAAGTAAATCTGTGGATCTGTGTTTGATTACTCTGCCTGGCTTTCTCAAAGACCAGGATGTGTGACACAAAAAAATCTGAATTATGGAGCTGAAAGTGAAAGTAGTCAAACTGAATTTTTAATAAACCAAAATACAGTTTCAAAGCAAATTAATTAAAATACAAAACTTTAAATTCAGTTTCAAATAATCAAATTCAGTTTCAATTTAGTCAAATTCATTTTCAAACCAATGCATTCAATTTCAAATTATGTGCATTCAGATTCAATCTGAGCAATTCAAATTCAGTTCCTGTTGGCACACGATTTATCCCATACAAACTGACATTATTAGAAGCAAAAGCAGAAATATATAAATGGTCCAAAATAAATACATACATACACTTAAAATGGACCGATTAAATTAAAAAAGGAGTACTTTAAACTTTTAGTTTAATGTTTAAAGTTTAGTTAAAAACTAAACTGTAGTTGTTGTCCTGAAAAGCCTTTGGCTCAGGCGTTTTTAAATCTTGTCCTGTCTTAATTTTGAGCAGTGTGTCGTGGGTCCCACTCATCAGCAGGGTCACTTGATTTAGTTTTAACTTTTGGTTTATCAGTTCTTAAATTAAAACTTGGAGACGCTGAATTTTCTGATCATAGACCTGTTTTATTTGACAACTCTTTTACTTGTGAGTCCCTAAAACTCCCGCTCCAGCCAGGCGCTGTCAGATATTTAACTCTTCGACTGCTGCTCGCTTTTCCTCTGTTTTTACAAATAACACTTTCACTGACTTCAAACCATCTGAGTGTCTTACTACTCATGGCCTGTTCTCTCAGTATGAGGGGTTTTGCATTAAGACTCTGGATTTAGTTGCCTATTCACAAACCAGAAGTCCTAAACTCCCGCCCCAGCTGTGGTTTAATGAGACCACCCAAGCCACCCAAACATCAATGTAGAAAAGCAGAGCGTAAATGGATGAATGATAAACTACAGGTCTGTTTTATTAACTTGAAAATGTCTTGGATATTTTATCAGGCCATAGTTAAATCAGAGAAAAACAAAAAWTTCTCCCAAATTATTGCCTCCACATMTTGTAATCCCCATGTTCTTTTTAAGACTATTAACAGTATTTCAAACGTGCCTCAGTCTGCCAGCTTGGAGGACTCTGTACAAACCTGTAACAGTTTTAGTCAGTTTAAGACCATTTCTATTGCAGTTTTTAGGGACATAGTTGTTCACATGAGACCCTTGGGTTCCACTGCTGACCCTTTTCCTCCATCGTTTTTCCATCTGTTGGTCCCTCGATTCTTATAAAGTGCTTACAAGTTCTGGATGCTTTTCAACATGCGATAGTGAAACCATTATTAAAAATCCTGGACTTCAACTCTCAGTTTGTYCAAATTTTAGACCAAWCTTAAAACTGCCATTTCTTTCTAAAATTTTGGAAAAAWTTGTTTTTATTCAATAAAGCATCTTTTTAAATGAGAATGGAAATTTTGAAACCTTTCAGTCTGGTTTTAAACACTTAAGGCTCCCACATACTCGAGCGTACTSACCGCCTGACAAATTCTTTAATTTCAGTCATGATTTCAAGGATGAGGAGGAAGAGATAGTTTGCATTTTAGCTTTAAAACAACAAAAGAATAAAAAAAGAAAAGAACTACKTTACCAAGTATCTGAGCTATTTCCTCCCACAAATTTGTTGCTCGCTGAAAGTCCTTATATTCCTTCATTGACGCATCATAAAGTTTTCTAATCTCCTCCATGAGACGCGCTTCAAAGTTTGACTCATTTTGTCCACAAATGACACGATTCTCAACTTTATCAGCTTGGTGTCGCATCCAAAGCGGTACTCACCAGGCAGTTTATTGTGCGACACCGGGGACGCGGACGTAAAAAATTGATCTCTGTGTGGAGCAGTCCGGCGGACGGCCGCTACGGGTCCGCATTGAGTCCGCCTGGAGTCCGCCTGGAGTCTGAGCGGACCTCCGCGAAGCGAAGTATGCCCGAGTATGTGGGGGCCTTTACACAGCACTGAAACAGCTCTGGTGAGGGTTTGTAATGATATTTTTCTAGCAAATGACTCTGGTCAATCTGTGATCCTGGTACTCCTGGATCTGACTGCAGCTTTTGATACTGTTGACCACACCATTATCATGTTTAGAACACTGGGTTGGGATCACAGGAGCAGCACTAGACTGGTTTTGTTCCTACCTAAGTGACAGACATTTTTGTGTTAATGTTGGAAACTTCTTTTCTTTTGTAGCGCCTCTTTTCTGTGGGGTTCCACAAGGACTGATTCTTGGGTGACTTTTGTTTTCTTTGTACCTGCTTCCCCAAGGGTCTGTTCTAAGGAAACAGTCTGTCCTTTCATTGTTATGCTGATGATTGTCAGATCTYTCTGCCCTTGAAGCCTGATAATAGTGCCTGATCTATCCAGTTGTTATTAAAATGTCTTGATTACATTAAGGATTGGATGGCAGCAATTTTTTTAAGTTTTAATGACAGAAAAACTGAAGTTATTTTGTTTAGCCCTAGTTCTACTGCTGGCACCCTTCCAGCAAAGCTTGTCTCTCTTGAGTTGTATTTGAAGCCATCTGTTGTAAATCTGGGAATGATTTTAGATTCTGATTTGAAGTTTAACAAGCAGATCAACTCTGTTTTGCAGAAAGGTTTTTTTCACTTAAGACAGATAGCCAAGCTCAAGCCCATATTGACCAGACTTGACCTTGAGAAAATAATACATGCTTTTATTACTAGCCAATTAGATTACTGCAATGCACTTTATGTTGGGATCAGTCAGGTCTCCCTTTCATGTCTTCAGCTTGTTCAGAACGTTGCAGCTCGACTTTTAACAGGAACTCAAAGGTATGAGCATATTTCACAGGTCTTATCCTCCCTTCACTTGCTTCCAGTGTGCTGTAGAATAGATTTGAAAATTCTCCTGCTCACCTATTAATGCCGACATGGCCTTGCACCCTCCTATCTCGCTGATCTACTTCAACCGTACATTCCTTCTCGGGCACTAAGATCTTCTGATCAGCTGCTTTTGGTCTTTCTGAAAACCAGGTTGAAGCTGAAGGAAGATCGAGCTTTTTCAGTCGAAGTTCCTAAGCTTTGGAAGGATCTGCCCTCCAACATTAGACAGGCCTCGTCACTTCCTGTTTATAAATCTCTGTTAAAAACACACTTGTTCTCCCTGATTTTTAATTATGATTTTTCCCCTGTATTTTGTACTGAGTTTTTATCTTTCTTATACTTTTACAGTATGTTGTTTGATTTTATATTGACATTTTCGCCTTGCATTCAGCACTTTGGTAACAACTTGTTGTTTTTAAAATGTGCTTTATAAATAAATTTGATGATGAAAAAAGGCACGTGTTTTCCTCCTTGCCTTTGTTTTTTTTTACTAAACCTTAAACTTTAAGCTAAACTGAGGCAGCACAAGCATGCWCAGTAAATCTGCACATGGATCCTGCTCRTTCKTGTCTTTTGACCAATAGGAGAAGAGCTGACCCAAGAAGCTCCGCCCACATTATTTACATAATGAGGCAGAAATGTATGACAAAGAAATGTAAAAACAAGACAAGGAAATAAAAAGGCTTGTGGAGAAAATTATGAGAAAAAATTAAATACAATATTTTAAGAGACATAACTACATCTACAAGTAAAAGAAAAAACAATATATAAAACAGTCTAATGTAAATTATGTGCTAAAATATATATAATTTATTAGAACTAAGCTGGAAAAATAAATTTGATGATCAGTTAAATTATAAAACATGAGATTAAGTTCTCCTTTTTTAATTTAATCGGTGCTTTTAATTTGTATATTTCTGCCTTTATTTCTAATTATGACAGTTTCATTCCTCCATATTTAGAAACTTCTGTTCAATAAAGTAAGCTTCAACTCAACAACAAACTGTATGCAGTCATATACAGTGCCCTAAAAAGTATTCACACCCCTTTAATTTTAACATCTTATTTTACTGAGAGTTGAACATAAAGTAGTGAAAAATTGTGAAGCAGAAAGAAAATTATAAATGGTTTTCAACATTTGTACAAATACAAATTTGAAAAGTGTGGCAGGCCTTTGTATTCACCTTCTTAATTCTGATACATCTAACCAAAGTCCAGTGCAACCAGTTGACCTCAGAAGTCACCCGATTTGTCAATAGATTTCATCTGTGTGTAATTTCATCTCAGTTTACGTCCTGCTTTCCTGTGAAGGACTCAGGCTTGTCAGAAGACAGCATCATGCAGTCTAAGAAATACACCAGACAGGTCAGAGATAAAGTTGGTTATAAAATAATATCTCAGTTTTTGAACATATCACTGAGCTCTGTTCAATTCATCATCTGAAAGTAGAAATATGGAAAAACTGCAAACCATGATCATGCACCTGAACTGACAGGGTGAATAGAGCTTTAATTGGAGAAGCAGTCAAGAAGCCCACAGTAACGCTGGAAGAGCTGCAGAGATCTGCAGCTCTGGTCTGACAAGGATTAGTCTTGACTCCAAATCTGGTCTTTATAGAAAACTGGCAAAAGGAAAACCATTTGAAGTCCTGTTTGCAGTTATATGGAGACACAGAGGACATGTGGAAAAAGCTGATTTGCTCAGATCAGATGAAAACTTATTATTGACCCAAATGCCAATTGCAATATGTGGCAGAAAACTAAGACTATTAAAACACAAACYCTGAAAACACCATAATGAAACATGGTGGTGGCAGCATCATGATGTGGTGAGGCTTTTCTCCAGCAAGGACAAGGAAGCTGGTCAGAGTTGATGGAGAAATGGATGGAACTAAATGCAGGCCAAGCTTGAAGGAAAACCTGTTAGAATCTGCAAAAACCAACATCAGGCCAGAGCTACTATGGAAATGATTTACCTGAAAATATACAGAGGTGTTAGAAACACCCAGTCAAAGTGCAGACCTAAATCTAACTGAGAAACTGTGGCAAGATTACAAAACTGCTGCTCTCTTTTTTCTCTGTCCAATCTGATTGAACTTGAGCTGTTTTGCGAAGAAGGGAAAATTTTCAGTCTCTAGATGGCCTAAGCTGCTGGAAAGACTTGCAGTGGAGGATTGACTCAGAAGGGCTACAAATGCACACCACACTTTTCAGACTTTTATTTGTAAATTTTCTACCTCACAATTATTACCTACTTTACACAAAACAAGGCACTGTAACTCTACTCCTTCAATCTCAATGTTCACTGGTCGTTTTTGGAGTTGTACACTGATATATTGTGTTGTGAGTGTTTGTGTGTGTTTTAATAACCTGCGGTGTGTGTTGCGGTTACTGTTGACATGGCCTTGGCCAGTGCAGCCAGGAGTGGGACACTTCAAGACATTCTCATGCATAGCCAAAACTACAGACACACAGCAGATGTACACTCAGGTAAGTATGTTTAGTTCTGTGCCAGTAGAAGTATTGCAGAGGAGCAGGAAAACAACAGGAAGTGAAGATAGCAGAAGTTATTATAACAATATTAGAAGTTTTCTTAAAAATTATTAATTCTAATATTAGTGGTGAAAATTAACAATATTAACAAATATCAGGTCCCTTTGTGTACTTGTTGGTCCAGTTCCAATTATGTCTACTCACTCTCTGGAGGGATTCGGTCTTTGTGAGGACATCCAGACAGACTGCGGTGGTGAGGGTATAACCCAGTGACGTGACCTGTCCCATCACAACCTGGAGTTGGACACTTCACTTCTTTTTTCTCTGAATACAAAACAATGTGATGTAGAGGGGTAATTAAAACACAATAATAATGAACAGTTGGTTCTTCACATCTTGTGAAAAATATATACTTTGGTMAAGACTCTAGACATGAAACTGAGCTGAACAGAAGAACAGCCCTTGAAGTTCTGGTCAACCTCAACACATACCAAGTGAGAAAAAAAGAAGCATTGCCCGCTTGGACGTCTCGAGGTTTAACATAGTCATTAGTCAGTGAGCTATGAGAACAAGATGTACCTGGGCAGAGAATTTAACACTTGAAATGTTGGTGTAAACCCAACATCCAGATTGATTCAGAAACAACTTCAGATCCAGCGTTCTAACAAAGAGGAATCTGGATGACAGGTCATGGATCCATATCATCATCCCCAAGTCCCAATGAAAAACTCAAAGGAACTAAAAACAAAGGCAGCTGACATAAGCCCTGAATATAACCAAGTTAAACATGTGTGACCACCTGCCCAACTTTCCAAGGCTCTGTGGCCTTCTGAACYTTTGACAGAAGATGTGAAAGCAGAACCACAAACTATACCAACCCATTCTCACTCCCAAGTCATCACATATTGACACTTTTCCAAGGTTTCCTCTGCGTCCGATTTTGACGCGTTSTTACCATTGTTACAGTCTTTATTTTACAGTTAAAATATATGTTTATTAAACAAAGTCTAATGTTACAACTAATCATGGATCCCTTTAAGGTAAAAAATCTATGCATGTCTTTGGGCACGAGGCCCCAGAGAACCAAGAACAAACTGCTGGTCAACAGAGCTGCAAAACCACACTGCCAAATCAACAACAGGAAAACTTAAACAGCAAAAATGACAGTGTTAATTTAACATCCACAGCGTTAATTTCAACACCAATTCTGTGAACTGTGTTTGGGTTGAAGATAAGATAAGATAAGATAAGATAAGATAAGATAAGATAAGATAAGATAAGATAAGATAAGATAAGATAGACCTTTATTGTCATTGTACAGAGCACAATGAAATTACAGTTCAGAACACCCATTCAGAAGAAGACAGAACATAACAAACATAGGAGAACAGGTGGCCCGGGTCATGCAGCCACAGACCCTGCACAGAGCAAAGATCATCTTCACGAAGACATCATAAGGAGGCGCAACCCTTAAAAGAAAAAAAAAAACGATAAGAACTGGTTTTGGACTCTTGGTTCTAGCACGGYGTATTAACTTGAAACATCACCGACTCCACTGCATCCCACCCATGTGTTCGATGCCCAGCCCCCTCCCCTCCTTACAGTGGTGGATGGTCAATGGGGGTGCTAGGGCGACGCCCCACCCCTATTTTTGGTACACAAAAGAAAAAATAATTTAAATAACAGAATAAAATGTTGTGTTTCGAAAAATATTGTGTATATGTTTTCTGATAAGTAAAATAAATAATTTAGAGTTATTGATATGTAAACTTCCATTTTACTCATGAGTTTTTTCGTGTTGAGTCACTTCCGGGTCACGAGTTGTTCGGTGCCCCAGATTCCCATAGACAAGTCATTGTAAGATTTTGGACATGCGCAGTAAGTCCCCAATGCAAAAGAATAGGGTGGCCTGGAGCGCAGAATGTGGCTGCCCCGCAGCTGACCTCACACAACCAGTAGTGGGTTACAGTACGTAACCAACGTTTTTCAAGCATCAGAATCTGATCTAGCATGGATTAAAACAGGTAAGAGAAAAGATAAAATACTTTTTAATGCTATTTAATCATAGTATATTAATGGTGAACACAACTTAAAATAATATATTATATAATAGTATAATATTTTTATGTTGTTTATGTTTTTGACAGATATTAGAAGATAATTTTCTTCTTTCTGCTGCTTCTCATTTTATTATATTGTTTTCTTCTGTTGTGATTAGAGTTTATTTTGTTTTTTAATTAAATAAATACATTTTTAAAACAAAAATATAATAGTTTACCTTAGAGATGCAACAACGTGTTGCTATTAAAATAACATTAATTGTTTTCTGTATATTAAATATATATTAGAAAGTTCACTTGTAGCCATCTCCATATTGAATTAAATTTGTGCATTTATTTTTTTAGGTTTGTGACATCATCTTGAGCCATTCACAAAACATCTGATCAGAGCTACAGTGCTGCAGGCTGACAGGTTCCTGCAGGACAGTTCTCTGAAGTAGCTCTGAAGACCATGGAGGCTCACCCAGTGCTGAACAGGACGAAGAAGTCTGATCTAGTTCAGGAGCTGCAGTGTGGCTCTGTCCCAGCTCTTCATGGAGAACAATCTGCAGAACACCTTCAGAGACTGTGACTCTGCTGAAGACTCTCATCACATCTCCTCTGACCACAGCTGAATCTGAGAGGAGCTTCAACACTGGAGAGAATCCAGACTTTCCTCAGGTACAACATCACATCTCACTGCACTGACCATGCTCTATAGAAGAATCTGGTTAAAACATCCCTGACTTTAACCAGAGTCATGAAGAAATTTGCTTCTAAGTTAGAGAAGAGCTAAATTTGTGGACTAAAAATAAAAACCACATGACTGTGATTATTTTTGATTTCTTTAATAAATACTCTGGCATGAAACAACCTAGTACAAGCTTGATTGCTTTTTGAGATACGTCTGTTTTGGAGTTGTAGCACCCCCTGGAGAAAAATCCACCAGCCACCACTGCCTCCTTAGCTGTCTGCTCTTGCAAGTTGTTTTTTGTGCATATGATTCTGTGTTTATGAGTAAATATAGGATCAGAGCAACTTTTTTAACTCATCGATCCCATTGTGTGTTTCATTGTCCAATCTGCAAAAGGTAGCGCGACCGTGTTGCGCAAGACCTGGCCATCCATTACCCCATGTTTGTTATGTATGTCTTTCTTCAAACAGGTGTTCTGAACTGCAATTTCYTTCTGCATTGCATCTTTGATGTTGTGTGTGAATGACAATAAAGCTGATTCTGATTCTGAACAAAGTGTCTATGTGTGTCCACACTTGCTGAGTTAAAATAACATTTGCAAAAGTGTTAAATTTTAACACCATTTTTTTGTTAATTTAACACCAACCAGTATTTAATATTCAACAATACTGGGTGTCACATTTACATTTCAACAGTGTTAAAATTAAAAGCAGTGTATTAATATTATTAACAAAGGAAATTGTGTTGTTAGAAAGGTTAACAGACAACACAAGGTGTCAATACACCATAAATTTGACACTCAGTGTTAAAATCAAACTCTTTGTAGTATTTCATTAACACTKAGTAGTTAGTAGAAAAGTATAATGGAGTCACCCAAAACACAACAGGATGTACCTCTCCTCATGGTGTTATGGCCAATAACACAAACTTAAACWTGAACAACTTGACCAAACTGAAGGAAAAAAAACTAACTAACCAGAACAACTAATTTTTACTACCATGAACTTCTTTAATAGTCATAAACATACAAACACATAATTTCTACAAGATTACCCAGCATTCCTTGCTGAGAAAATACTGGTCTGTCTGACAGGTGGAAGAGGGCGGGGCTTTTCAGAATACGTCTTTCAACYCTGCATGGTGTCATATAACAACACTGTTAAGTGTCATATAAAACTTAACAGTGGGTGGAGCTTATTTAACACTGTCCAGTTTTGATAAAACACGGAGGAAATCAACACTGTGAATTAACACCAACACTGGATGTCAGTTTACTCAGAAAGTGTTAAAACTAGGGGGTGTTAAATGAACACCCAAAAGTTTAACACTGAAATTTTAACACTCCTGTTTTTGCTGTGTAGGACTTAATGCCCTCTTCGTGGATCCTGGAGTGCTTCAAACTGTACAACATCAACAGAAGTCTAAGAGTTTTCATCAAGAACTCAATGAGAATATCGAAGATGACCCTGGAGGCCAACTTAAAGGGATCCCCGATGAGTTGTAACATTAGACTTTATATGATAAATATATACTTTAACTGTAAAATAAAGACTGTAAAAATACTGTAGGAAGTTCAGTTTTTATCATTTTTTAAACTAAAAGTTTAAAAATATATTATACGGATGGGGCCATTTTATTTACATGCAAAGCATTCTGGGTAAATGATGACATCGACTAGGTCATCGCTGCTGGCAAGCTATATCCACCCTGAAGGTTAATCTTGGGCAATATCTGACGATTGGCTCTTTTAAATGAAACCAGAGAGC